ATTGATCACAGTATCATTCAACGATTCGATATTGAAATGAAGGAAATCTCATATCAGCTTGTAGAGCATTTATCTTTCTGTCAAATAAAAATAAACGACATACAACGTTTTAGTATCAAGATAGCGATAGTAAATTTTTAAAAACTGAAATATCCTTGCAAGATGATAAGTAACGCGGGAACATTAACTTTTACAAGATTTACATGTTATTCGTGCGAGTAAAAGAATACTTATTACGCATTAAAGAGAGTTCAGAGAGGGCGAGACACTTGTCTCCCATTCGCGGCAACTTTTATCTACGCTATACCTGAGTGGCCCAATGAAATCTTTCCCCTAATACGGGGATGAGGGAGAGCTTTATCTCTTGCTTTAAAGTTCAAAACTTTGTCTGTGATGGCAATTCCAAAATTTCCTCTTTAAGCTCGGATGGAGCGAACGTAAGCGCGCCCGTATCGATCGATGTTCTCTCTCGTACTTCTTCGTTCTCTCTCGCTTCCTATCTCCTATTCCTCCCTCCTCCCCCCCTCTCTCTCTCTCTCTCTCTGGGACGCGACAATTGTGTACAACGTAACCAATGACGCAAAGCTATAACATGCACGCGTGAAATTTAACGACAACGTGCGGCGAATATTAGTTTCTCGTGGGAATCATTTTTTTCCTAATTTTTTTAGGTTGGTAATATATCATTGTAATAACTCGTCTTGTGATATATAATATCAAAATAGTATAAAAAAAAACTCGACTCTGCGGCCTAATATCCTATGCGACCTACTCGTTTATTATACGGTGAATTTAATAGATAACACTAGTAAGTCGCACAGGTTGTTCATCTGTCTCGATTGCATCAGTTCATTGCTTAATTTGATTATTCTGTTATTGTTAGTAAAGCAAAATGTAGAACATCGTGTGGTCATGATACAACATTTCATAAGTAATTACTTTCTACCAAGAGTTGGTTATTAATTTTCGTAGTTCATTTTATCGTAGCTCCGTTTATATTGTATGTTACAACGCTGTTTCAGTTTATATTTTCGTCTTAACATTTTGTTTATAACTGAAGAGAGAAAATCCTTTGTAAGGTAGAATGAATGTAGTCAACCTAGGCATACTGAGTATACAATGTGCACATATCGATTGTAATGTTTTTTGGTGCTTTTGTTACTCCAGACAATGGATTCTAATTTATCTGCTGAACATCATGAAAATAAGTAGATAAATAAACAAGTAAATAAGTCAATTGTTTGGAAAACAGTTCCTTGTGTATTCTTACATGTCGAAAAACATGTCAATATGTTAATAAACTTATAAAAGTAATATTAGATTACTTTATTTTTCATTTTTTTCAATATTTCTCTAACAAAAAAAGAGGGTAACATATATTTGTTGGGTATATATGTACAATATGACCTAGATGCTATTTTTTCTTCAAATCTTTACTGCATTTCTGAAAATATTTAAAAATGTTATATTTTTTTTAATGTTCAGAAATCCGGTTTTAAATCCGATCATGAATTTTTAATTCTGAAGTCAACAAAAATTAGAAAAAATTGCAGAATTAGAGTAAATCACACGGGGCACAGTTATCTTACTATTTTTGTCTTCTCCTTTTTAATTTTTCTTTTCTCTCTCTCTCTCTCTCTCTCTTTCTTTGATAAATAAACCCTGTATTTTGAGTGCGTCGATTTTTTGCTATACAAAAATTACTTCACCCCGCAGTCGCGTGATATTTTACTGTATATTTCACGGTAATCTTATTTCATTAAAATATATACGCCGAGATATTGTAGTTCGTAATTTGTATTCTTAAAAATGCAAACGACGTCCGCGAGATCAGTGGGATCCGAAATGCGCGGAGAAAAAAATCCCAATTCGCAGAGAGAACGCGAGCACGGGGAGAGTATTATTTCATTCCCTTTTTCCCCATGTAGAGTTTCTGTCGCGTTGGTGGATTCACTCGGATTTAACGATGAAATTGTTTACCGATCGTGACGCAATTAGTTCGGGCCCGATATCACTTTTATAATTCTAGATACATTGCGTCGATATATACATTGTATTAGCCAATGAAGCGTGAATTTATATTGGCGGTTAAAAACACGAATTGCATTATATTATTAATCGATACATATCGGTGCAATTTGAATTTACATATCGCCATTTCCGAGCTTATTTAGCAAAAAATGCTTGCGAAAAGTGGCAAGAGAGGGCCGAGAGGGGCGGTGTATCGCCTGCCACGATCCGCAACGTCACACACTTTTCTTCCGAATGCGGTTCACCGACCGTTCGGTCTCGGCGGAAAGGAGAGAGTTAACTGCTGCGGTCGCGTGACAAAGTAAGATTAGAGGCGCGGTTGCGTTCCGAAGTTAAGCCGACCCGGTTGCACTTGCCGGAGTTAAACAGCCCGCATTTCGCTCGCCCTTATTTAGCGAGCGCTCCGGCGTTCCGGTGCACTCTTACCTTTTTATCCCCAGGGGTGTATTTGTGCAGACTCGCGTTTTGTAAATTCCGGCGGCTCTGGCGTTTCGACACGTTCGCGTGAAAAGTAAAGAGCGGTTGCATGCAAGCATACATCTACATATACATCCGTGTCACACGTGCCGTACGCGCGGATATGCGTGCGATCAATTTTCAGGTATACCCCGTACCGTGACACTTTTAATTTATCAGTTTAATTAACGGTATTTATGGCTGCGCTTGACAATTACTTAGGAAATCGATGTTACTGGTACTGCGCGTTTTCTTTTTTTTTTTTTTTGCGTACACGTCTTCTCGAAAATCGTACACTCTTGATAACGTAATTATAATTTATGTACGTATGTAAAAGTCGATAATAATGACTCTCTGCAGTGGAAATCGCAAATAAATTTTGCATTTTTGATAATTAAATGCTTTCTAATATTTAGTAGGATTTTATGCAGATTAATGGAACAGCAGAATAATTTTATTATTACATGAAGATGTTATTTTAGGACAATCGAGAGTATCTTTTTTTTTGACTGTATTGAGCTAATTCGTTTTTTTCTTTGATTTCTTTATATTATTCTCTTTATATTATTCTTTATCTTATTCTCGTACAATAATGGGTGAAGAAAAAGCATAGACAGAATATTTAAATTTACATAAAAGTGGTGCAAAGTACTGTGAAATTATATATAACAACAGGAGTAAGAAACGTAAATAAAACTGTATTTCTGCGCCATTTCGCTTTGTTTGCATCTCGAATTTTTCTAATGAATTCAGAATAACAATGCCTTACGAATTACAATCGCGGAATTAATGATGTTTATTTCATTGGCTGTACTATAAGTAGAACACGAATTAAACAAAGAAATAACGTCAACCTGACTTCTAGACACTTCCGAAGGAAAAACTTTTGCATCAACACGTACACATATACGTACGTATTGAAATGGTATAAAAGAACAAAGTGACTCGGTGGCGCCCCGTTAAATTGAGAATGGAGGATAGTCGGCACGCAGCCGAAAGGTCGAGCGGAACACGAATTTAATCAATTTCCGGCCGCACCACAGTTACGAGGGCACGGGCGCAGCGGTTTTAATTTATCAGTTTAATTAATGGGCATCTGGTATACAGAGTTGCCAATTAAAATAGAATCAACGTCATCGGGTCCCGCGATTTCTTCTTTCGTCGCCGTTGAACAGCGCCGCGAATATCGAATAAGGGCGGAAGTACGGCGCCGTGTTTGCATATTGCGGAATCCGCAGACAAGCGGCAGAATCCGATAAAATGACTGAAATATCGCAGGCATATGTACATCCGTGAATGCCGAGCTGCGCCTTGGACGGGAAATGCTACGATATTTGAAGGGAAAGTACGGCAGCGTATATTCGCACGCTTTCTGGAAACGTTAATAATCTATACGGGGGATATAGGTCAAATGTTATGGAGGACGAATGAAACGACGAATGCGGGATTACAAGCACGATACGCGCGAATTACTCTTGTTAATGTCATATCGCGCCGCATTCGCGAGCGTATGAAAACGAGTCGGCGAAGCTGGTTACTATTAACGCATCTTCATGATAATTAATTCCACGCGCATGCGAATATCCCGAGGGGTACGCCTTGCAATTTTGTTTATGAAATCGAAAAATTACGTTGCAATGCAATCCACTGGCTTGGTGTATCATCGAAGTTTTCGTTTCCACATTGAAAATTCATGTAACTGGTTTAACGTTAAGTGGACATAATGCAAGTTATTATTACAAACGAAAAATATTGGAATTTAAAATTTGGAGATAATCTTTTTCAGAGAGATTAGAGATAATTTTTCACGTGATTTATATTTTTTTCAGAAATATTACCTGTGCTGATATTTACTAAGATTAAGAAAACGATTAATTGAATTGTGATTCAAGAATTTGTAATAATTCCATATAAAGGGGAAATATGTATATATAAAACACGATATTAAAAAAAAAACACAAAATGGGAAAAACGGAACATTTTGACCGTTAATATAGATATTTAAAACAGCGTATTTTTTAGCATTACAAATACGATTACGTAAACAGCAAGTGACAGGGCAATGATGCTAATAAAGATGAAAATCAGGTCAAATTGATCGTCTTTCATTTATTTCATGAAAAAGGAAACAATTTTATACTTATATAATAAAATGAAATTTTGCGATGTGTACGACACCGATCGATTCATGTAAACATATTAAAAATGTAAACATATTAAAAATGTAAACATATTAAAAATGTAAATGATTTAAAACGCCGCTATGATCAAACATAGTTAGTACAAAACGATCAATACTTGTTAATATCCGTGCAACGCGTGATATACTGTACAAACGCACAAGCTTTCGCGACATAACTGTATAGAGAGATGAAAAGGAGGTCGGTTTAAAAGGAAAACTGCGTGCATAGTCTCCACGTTATCGCAAGAAATTTCTGTTATTTACATTTATTAGCGGGCTCGTATCTGCATAAAGTAAGCGTCTCGCAAATGCGGCATGTAGCGTGTCTTACCTTCTCTATTATGCACACGAGATTTATGATAGACCCTACGTCGACGTGATGCTCGTCGCTTCCTAATATAAACGCCTCTGGTATCACTATATTTAGATTGACAAAGTGTGACAGTATCCCTGCACTTCTCGAGACCTGCAAAATAAAAAATACAGCAGCTGTGAATTATTTTGCACAAAAAATTAAATATAACGTTTCATATAATGCGAAGAAAATTTTCATGTAAAAAGAATCAGATTATACAATTTTTTTTTCTCATTCTAATTAAAAAATGGCAAAATTCAATAAGATTGTTCGATAAAGTATTTGGAGTAACTATAGAAAGAAAATTTAAGAAAGAAACGTGATATTTGAATTCTTACAATTCATTTTATTTTAACTTCGTAAATAATAATAATATGCATACAGTAATACATACGCACATTGGATCAAAACAAATCATAAAGGTAAAATGAAAATATTTCTGTTGAAATATCAGACAGTCTCATATATAGTAGCTCCTACACAAAAGCAAAAGACTAAAAATATTATTGACTAAAAATATCAAATATCTTTGATACTTTTCAACAAATTGTGACAAATAAATTAATTAATGTTCATCAATTATAGCATCAAAAACTTCGTTAACAGTCATATTCACGTATTTAAGTCGTGGCAAAAACTCATTATTTGTTTTAATTTTTTAAAATAATGAGTACTTTCGCTAACTGTCGCGATTTGAAAATACTTTACATACTTTCGGTCAGAGCCGAATATTGTATGCTTCAAAGTATGCAAACGCACAATGCGAAAGCTGAGTGAGCATTAATTCAACGGGTTTCGAGTACATGAAAATCGGCTTATCGACAACTTTGTTCGAAAATGTTGTAACCTAAAATACCAGGTTTTTCAGTGCAGTCCTTTAAATATTCAACGTAAAACGGAGTGCTTTCCAGGCAATGTTTCAATCTTTTTCACCAAAAAAATCTTGAAATAGATGAGTTTAGAATATATAGCATATATATATAAATTAAATATGTATAATTTTGCTTTAATAAAAATTTAAAGTGCTCCACTCTGTTAATAATTAAAAAATTCTCAGTTTTATAATTTTTTTCATTATCCTGATCTATAGTGACATTTAGTTGCATAAAATGTATGATAAAAATATATTATCTCAGTATTATAATCAATATGAGAAAAGAATCAAGAGAAAAAAGAATATTATATCAATCTCTCTTTCTAGTCTTCTCAACCATGAAAAACAGAAAAGAATTATGTCACGACATCAATGAAATTATTATTGTATACCGAAATTATATATACCGAAAAAATATCACAAAACGTGAATAAAATTATTACGTACCTAAATTATATATGTACCGAAAGCTCTGTTCTCAAATTTTACATTTCCCTTATATAACTTCGCTAAAACATCGTAAACGGAATATTATCGCTGCACTGTTTTCTTCATCTTTCGGTGATATACGAAAAACGACAGTGGCCTTTTTTTTCGAGCGCATTTGTTCGCGAAAAATCCATCCCTCTATCCTTCCTGAGTACCGTGGGATGTACGCCGGATATACGTATGTCGTTTTAGTGCGCTGGGATGCTGCAGTTTGCAGTTGCAGCGAACTCCGCAAGTCTCCGGGAAAGTTTGCTGCAGGACAATGGTCTCCGTAGGTAGGTAGGTATACGTAGGTAGATAGATACGCCGCGCTCATAAAAAAGCATTATGCGAGTTTGAGAAGTGTATCGTTCCGCTGCCAACTTGGACGAGCGCCGGTCGCCTCTGACGCGCAGAACTTTCTTCTTTCTCATCCCGATTCACTGTGAGCGGCGCGCCGAACTGCATCCTCGCAAATGCGTCTCTGCGCGTCGTGCGGCTGTACGGGCGTCGCGGTAAAAATGTCACCGCGGATAAATATACAGTCGGATGCTGGCTGATGGTATTTTTTCTTTTTCTTTTTTTTTTTTAAACGTTATATGCGAGCACCTTCTGGCCACGTATACATCGCGGTTATGAAACGTCATGAAACGCCTGGCTGCTCTCGCTGTTCTCCGCTGCTCCTCCTTTCTTCATTTTTTTCGTTTTTAGAAAAATACGCGGCGGAGAAAGAGAGAGGGGGGGGGGAAGAGAGAGAGAGAGAGAGAGAGAGAGAGGGAGAGAGAGAGAAAATCTCGACTCGTACGCGCGCATCCGCCATTGTCGTACGCGGGTGTATAATCGCATTAATAAAACAGTATATTCTATGGACGACGCGTTATAATAGTGGCGCAAAGTCTTGTGTGCTTTTGCATGACAAAGGATGAAATTGACAAGCGCTGATGCTCTTGTTGTCACGGCAGCGGTGGATGGGTCACTCCGCGGTACAAAAGAACCGTGAATAGGAGACGAAAGCCCAGTTAATTAAATCCCCGTACGTTTAACTGTCTTGAAAAATCTGTTGTCCGGTAAAATGGTGTATCTCTCGGCTATACACTTGGACCACAAACGATAGCGATAAATTGTCATTTCCCACGGCTAAGTATAACAGCATTTTTTAATCAAGTGATATTTCTATTATCGCGTTTTTTTAATTAATTTTTCTCGATTTCCTATTGTATTTTGATTAAAAATTTCTCGCCGTTTGAGAAATTCTTTTCGCTCCTGCCAGTAAATTTAAGATTAATTTTATAAGAATATATATATATATATA